CTATGGATCAGAATTGACTCAACAGCACTTAACAACAACAACAACAGGGGACACTAAGTTGTGGGGTTTTAGGAAAGCCCCATTTTCCATTGAAGAGAAAAGTCCAAGAGCGTGAATTCCTCAACCATCTTGGGAGCTGAGACACTGCTGGGATCCGACACCACCCCAGCCCAGCTCCACCTGGTCCATGGGTACAGCCCTAAAATCATTCCAGCCTGGCCCAGTCCAGTTCCTCCACATGTGCAAGCAGACCCAGGCCCTGACCACGACTCCATACCCAAGGCCACATCAGCCACCGGGATCTCTGGGGTGGGACCCAAAGGTCCATTTGGTGGCAGCCCCTAAGGCCATCCCAGGTGGCTAGCGGCTCCTGCAGAGAGCTTTGGGCAGCGAGGGTCAGGATGTAGTCATCCAGGGATGGCCCACTTTAGTGTCTCGGCCCCACCCACTTGCCTTGGGTCTGTTTCAATGACATCTCCAGGTAACCTGTTTGCACTTCAAAGCTTGAGCTCCCCCCATGGGCTGGGTGGTGAGTGGGTGGCAGGCTGCCTGGGACTGATTCCTTCCAGCCCTTGGGGTGGCCGAATGAAGCCTGGGGGGTGGCTGGCGACTCCTGGTCATCAGAGACCACAAGGCACACAGTCTTGTCTCCCTGGGAGTGGGCGTAGGTGGACACAACACACAACCCCAAAAACAGTTCCGACCTCCCGTGGGGCTCACCTGATGTTGTTTGCTTCAGTTTCTCGGTTTTCTTTTTCCTCCATTTCCATGGCTTGAAGATTCTGCCCAGGGTAGCCAGCTTGCTACTCCGCCTCACAGGCGGGGTTCGGATCCCTGAGACCAGGCACTCGGGGCGCATGGGGGGCGTCTGGTCCATCTCATCTGGAATGGAAACAAAGCAGGCCTCAGTGGACACCGAGATCCTAGCCCCCTGGGATGCCCCTCACCCCCAGACCATCAGCTTCCCCAAGCCTGAAGCACAAAGAGCCATCAAAACAAGGAGAGGGCCCTTCTTCCCTCAAACGATGTCCCCCTGAGGAGAGCCTCTGGCCCCCTCTTCAGCCAAGCCCTCCAACACGCATCCCAGCCCACTGCCAAGTCCCACCCCCATACCCACCAAACCAGGGCCTTTGCTCAGTTTTGTCTAGTCAGCATCCACCATCCACCAGGAAGCCTCTCCCATCTCTGCCTCAGAGCAGGCCTGTGATCTGGGAGCTAAAATGCTGTGCTCGCTGTGTGCCCCCTGCCCAAGGCTGCCTACCTAGGACGAACTCTGCAGGGAACACAGCAAGATGAGCGTATCCCAAACACAAAGAGACTGAAGTCGCTCTCCTTTCAACCCCCTCAGCCCACCTTTCCCACCTGAGGTGGCCCATGCCACCTGCGCCCCTAAACAAGACCCCCTCGGGCCTCAGCATTCAGGTGTGGAGGCCCAGGTGGGGTGGTTTCTGAGTCTATACATAGACATCCCCCAGACGGGGCATCTCCACTCTCCCTGTAAGCCCTCATGCGTAAGATGATGGCAGAAATGATCTCTATTCCTGAAGTGGAGAGAACGATTCAGTGTGGCCAGTCAGGCGTCACAAAGTCCATGTAACAGCACGTGAAGACATATGTTCAACAACACCCTGTACGCCAGGCCACACTGCTGCCCTGACCACCAGACCTCTGTCAGGACAGTAACTTTCACAACAATAAGAAGGAGCCTGGTGGAGCAGTGAGTCAGATGGTAGGCTGCCAACCACTAGGTTAGTGGTTCAAACCCAGCAGTCGCTCAGCATGAGAACTATGAGGCTGTCTATCTGCTTCTGTAAAGATTTAGTTTTAGAAACACTACATGGGGTCATTATGAGTTGGAAGCAATGCAGCGGTCAGAGCAACACTGTGTGGGATTTCTGAGGCTGTAAATCTTTAGGGGAATAGACAGCCTCATCTTTCTCCCAGTGAGTGACTGGTGGGTTT